AGGATTACCAGCTTACAGTCCACACCTCCAGAGTAGCTAGAAAACAAGTAGGACCATAAGAGAGACACACATGGTCCCCCAGTAAAGGGGAAAGTGACAAGATCTACAGAACAAATTGGGAGCATGGGGGAGAGGGGAGGGAGTTTGGAGAAACAGAAGGGGAAATGAGGAGGGGCAAGGAAAATATGAGGGATCAGGAAGACTGAGTTGGGAGATGAATAGAGGAGAGCAAGAAAAGAGATACATCAATACAGGGAGCCACTATAGGTTTAAAGCAAAATATGTCAATAGGGAAATGTTCAGATATCCACAAGGCTGACCCTATCTAAGAATATAAGCAGTGTTGGAGAGGCTGCCTTAAATGCCCTTTCCCTCCAATGAGATTGATGACTACCTTACATGTTATCCTAGTGCCTTCATTTAGCAACTGATGGAAGCAGAAACAGACACCCACAACTAAGCACTGATCTGAACTTCGGGAATCCAGTTTCAGAGAGGGAGGATTGATGAACAAAGGGGTTAATATCAGGCTGGGGTAAACCACAGAAACAGCTGACCTGAGCACGTGGGAAATCATGAACCCAGTCTGACATATGGGAAACCACATAGGACCTAACTAGGCCCTCTGAAACTTTATGTCAGTTAGGAGGCCTGGGAATTCTATGGGGCTCTGGGTAAATGAGCAGTATTTATCACTAGTGTACAAATGTACTTTGAGAGTTCATTTCCCAGAGATGGATACTCTCTCAGTCTAGACATACTGGATGTGATATACTCTGATGATCCCATGGAAGGCATCACACTCACTGGGGACCATAATGACTATGGAATGGGAGGTCAGTGGTGGGCATGGAAGGATGAGAGGGAGAGGGAACTGAGAATGATATATAAAATAAGATTATTTCTAATTTAAATAAAAACAGATACCAGGTTTGCAATCCCAGACCTCTATAACCAGCAGAATTTTCAAGAATCATAGAAAGAAAAACCACAATATTCCATGATAAAGTTACATTTATACAATACCTATTTATAAATACAACCCCACAAAAGGCTAAAATGAAATTAACCACACCCATGAAAACACAGGAAATAAATAATCTCACACCACCATAACAGAAGGAAGGGAAGCACAAACACATACCCACATCACAGCCATCACCACCAACAAAATAATTGGAATTAGCAATCATTGGTCATTGATAACTCAAAATATCAGTCATCCCAATTGACTAATACAAAGACAAAGAATTGATGTTAAAACAGAATAATTCTTTCAGCTGCATACAGAAACATACCTCACTATCAAAGTTGATTATTACCTGAGAAAAAAATGTTGGAAAAAGATTTTCCAAGTAAATGCACCTAAGAAGCAAGCTGTCATACACATTCCCATATCTAATAAAACAACTTCAAAACAACATTTATAAAAAGATACAATGAAGGACATTTGTTAATTATCAAATTCAAAATCCACCAAGATATTTTAATTCTTTTCGTCTGTGCCCAAAACACTAAGGCAACTACACTTGTAAAAAAAAAGCATTGTTAGACTTAAAACCCACATTAACCCTACACATTAAGAGTGGGAGACTTCAATACCACACTCTAATCAATAGAAAGGCTATCCAGACACAAAATAAACATAAATACTGGAACTAAACAAAGTTTTCTAGTTAGTCACAAAGCAAATCTCAACAGACCCAAATAAATTGAAACAACTACATGCAGTCCTATCAGGCTACCAAAAATTAAAACTAGATATTATCAATAGAAACAGCAGAAAGCTTGCAAATTCATTGAAACTGAACCAGTCTCTACTGAGTGATAACTGAATCAAGACAGATATTAAAGATTTTCTAGAATTCAATGAAAATGAATATACAATACAACCAAACATATGGGACACAAGGTAAGTAGTGCAAAGAAGAAATTTCTTAGCACTAAGTGCCCACACTGAAAAATTAGAGAGATCTCACAATTACCAACACACTTGGAAGCTCTAAAGAAAAAAGAAGCAAACTCACCCCTGGGGAGTAGATGGTAGGAAACAATCAAACTCAGGGCTGAAATCAGTAAAATAGAAACAAAGAGAACCATACAATGAATCAAAGAAACAAAGAGTTGGTTCTTTGAAAATGTACAATAAGATAGACAAATCCTTCTCTAATACAACTAAGAGAGAAACAGAATATTCAAATTAACAAAATCAGAAATGAAAAGAGGGGTATAACATCATACAACAAGGAAATCCAAAGAATCATTAGGACATACATTAAAAACCAGAGAGGGAGAAAAGGAGGGGAGAGGAGGACATGGGGGATCAGGAAGCCTTAGTTAGGGGTAGAATAGAGGAGAGCAGGATAAGAGATACCATAGCATAGTGAGTCATTATAGATTTGAGGAGAGATCTTGCACTAGTGAGATTTCCAGAAATCTACAGGGATGACACAAACCGGAAAACTCAGCAATAGTGGAGAGGCTACCTTAAATGTCCTTCCCCTATAGTGAGATTTGATGACTACCTTATATGCCATCCTAGAGCCTTCATCCAATGGCTGATGAAGCAGAGGCAGACAACCACAGCTAACACTGAACTGAACTCCTGGAACCCAGGTGCAGAGAAGAAGGAGTAGTGAACAAAGGGCTGGTGTAATCCACAAAAACTGCAGACCTGAACAAGAGGGAGCTCTTGGACGCCAGACTGATGGCTGAGTGGCTAGCATGGGACTGATCCAGACTCCATAAATTTGGGTGTCAGTGAGGTGGCCTGGACAATCTATGGAACCTGGGTTAGTAAGTAGCTCAGTATTTATCAGTGGTGTATAAATGAACTTTGGGAGCCCATTCTACATGGAGGGATTCTCTCTCAGCCTGGACACATGGGGGAGGGCCTAGGCCCTGCCTTGGATGATATGACAAACTTTGGAGACCTCCCCATGGAGGACCTCACCCTCCATGGGGAACAGAGTGGGGACTGGGTGGGCAGTTGTGGGAATTTTGGGGGCGGGGGAGGAGAGAAGGGTGGCGGAGCTGGGATTGACTTGTGAAGCAAGCTTCTTTCTAATTTAAATTAAAAAAATCTGAAAAAACTGTTCTCTACAAAGTTGGAAAACCTTAAAGAAATGAACAATTTTGTTGGTAGATACTACTTACCAAAGTTAAATCAAGATCAGAGAAACCATTTAAATAGACCTGTAACCCCTAGTAAAATAGAAGTCAACAAATTCTCAGAGTTTAAATAGTCCCAGTATCAGAGAGCTTCATTGCAGAATTATACTAGACTGTCTTTCCATTCTTTTCTATTTTTCTATATCTGTCTTTCATGGAATACATCCTGACCTCATCCTTTCCTACTTTTTCTCCCAGATATTCTCCACCATCTAAGCATTTCCCCTGGTCCTCTACTCCTACATATCACTTTATAAGAGATCAGACCTCACCAAATGATGTTCATAGACCATATGAGGCATCATGAGCAACAATAGGACTAGGCACAAACCCTCAGATCACCCCTGGATGAGGCAAGCCATAAGGAGATAAACAATTCTAGCACAGGAAAGAGTCAGAAAAAAACCCTATTCCCACTGTTAGGAGGCTCACAAAAAACATATACTGAACAACCATAACATACATTCTACAAGAATTTCAAAGAAGAGTTAACCCAAATACTCATAAACTTATGACACGAAATAGATACAAAAGGATCATCGCCAAATACATTTTATGAAGCCAAAGTTACCCTGATATCCCAACAGTACAAAGATTCAATAATCATAGAAAGTTACTGACCAATTTCCCTTATGAATATAAGTGCAAAAATACAGGATAGCTTAAACAATCTTACATAAAACAACTCCCAGATATATCAGCATCCCTGATATTTCACCGTATTACAAAACTACAGCAATAAAAAATATTGTATTGAGATAAAAAGAAACAGATTGATTAAGGGAAATGAACCAAAGAACTAGGCATAAATCCACTTATCTATGGATATGTGATTTTTATAAAGATGCAAAATATACACAGTGGAAAAAAAAGCATCTTCAACAAAGGATCTTAGTGGATGTCTGTAAGAGAAGGATGCAAATAGATCCATATCTATCACCCTGAACAAAACTCATATCTTAGTGGATAAAAGACCTCAACATCAATCCAGTTACACTGAACTTTAAGAAGAGAAAGTGCCTTGAGCATATTGGCAAAGGATTCAACTTTCTGAACAGAACGCCAGTCAGTAATACAGACATGAAGATCAATAATTAATGAATGGGATGCTGTGAAACTGGACAGCATGTGTAAATCAAAGGACACTGCCAATAGTTAAGTGGATAAAGAGGTAGCATTCTCATTTTTTCAATGCCTTTGACCTGAACACTAAACATGCCTGAACTCATTTTTGATATAAATGATTCTTCAAAGAGGAATCTTTGGAAAGTGAGCGTAAAACTGTCATTTGTTTAAGAACTTGTTGATTTACTTCAAGAGAAAATCTAAACAATCTATCTGGATAGAACGTAAAATATAAAAGGATACATCAATATGAAAAAGTGATATGTTCACACAAATTATTTCAATTGACTAAGACCCTAGAGAAAATGTATAAAATTAAGAATATGAGAAAGACTAGCATGAAGGAAAACCTACTAAATAAAACCTAAGTACATGTTTAAAGAGATTACTAATATTAGTCATACAAAATCTATTTTTAGAATAAATCAATGATATGTACTACTATTATGATTGTTTTAATGTTAAATTATAACTCTAAAATTGTTATGAGTCAAATAACAAAATGGTTTCAAAGCATATACTACTATGAAGTAATCAACAGTTTACTCAATATTTTGTTGTATTATGTCCTAATGTCTTCTAGATATGTTTACTTTTATATATACTTATCAAGAGTCCTTTGTATTCCATTTATATACTCTCGATGCATTGTACATGGGACAGGGAGTCAAGAGCATCTTGTGATCTTGGAGCTGGTTACTTACTGATGCGGATGCATTTGGGTTGAGTAGACCAGCCATTCTCTGTACACGAAATTGTGTCCAGGCCATTTGGAAGACTGTAGCCAGAGTGACACTTGACTTTTACAGACTGGTCCTGTACATATGTTCTTTGCCAGTATGGAGATTCTCCATTCTCCACATCATGGAAAACACATTGTCCTAATAACCACAAAAATGGTAAATTAAAAAGAATATTAAAACTTCCATTTATTTGAAAATGAACTAAATCAAATTGTATCATTACATCCATTTAATGATCATGCATGACATTCAAAAATAAAACCAATATCAAATATTTAAAAGAGTAACATTTATCTTTAGTTTTTATAAATAACATATACAAGCAATAAAAGTATTCTCATAATACCTACTGTTTGTGTGCATTTCATGAACAGCTACTCACCAAGGACAGAAACTAGTCTGCTTTGCTCACAAACTCTTCTGCTGATCTACTTTTTGACATGTGACACTTAACTGTATTGTGTATGTACTCTACCCTTTCCACTCTTTAAAACAAGTATGATTTAATATAGAAATTGACTTACTGAGGCATGGCACTGCAGGCTCCCACCCATCTTCGGTACACTTCATGTAGTCCCAACTGTACCCAGAAGGAAGCCCAAATCCGCTGTCACAGTAATAGCTGAACTGCTTGCCTATAGGTACTGGGAAGTAGGGTCTGCGTATCTCTTCATAATATAGATGTCCATTTTTGATTTGTGGAAAATCACAAGTTTTCACTTGCAATACAAAACAAAATGAAAACGCTCATATCATAGCTAAACCACTGTATCTGTGAATTGCTTTCTATTAATTAAAATAACTGCATGAGAAAACAGAGTGTTTTCAGGACAAGGAAACTAATGGAATTCAGACAACTGAGTATGTGAGCAGGACTTTCTTCATGGAACCGAGTTATATCTTAGAGCTCACCAGAGAAGTAGATTAGAGATATTTCTTAACATCCAATATAACTGTTTACATATAAGCAGTTACACTAACTGGAGATGAAATATAATATAAAATCACCATATGAAGTTATTGTTGGAACATTATATTGAAGTGCTATATTGTTCAATGTATTAACAATTTTACAAGTAATGCTTCATTATTTTTTGTCTTCAGTTTTTATTTATAATTTTATATACTTATTTCTTACTTATAACTGGTACTTTAATATAAGAATAGTATTAACTTTTTCATGAAGTATAATTCTCCTTCCGTAAACCTCAGGTAGTGTGTTAAAAGTAATATCTGAAATAATGTTTAACAATAACAAATTTCCTTAAGATTCATTATTCATTTTATTTTTTGTAGTGTGAGAGAAATTTTTCATGAATTTTCCATACATTTGTAACATGGTTTACCAATTGAAATTCCTGTTATTCTAAGTGTTCTTCTTTAGCAAATTTGAGAATCATACTTTTCATAAGTCATCAATAAATTAATTAGCTTACTGACATGGATGCATTTTTGATGAGGAGACCAGCTATTCTCTGTACACGAAATTGTGTCCTGACCATTTGGAAGACTGTAGCCAGACTGACACTTGATTTTTAAAAGGTACCAAAAGGAATCATTGTTTAAATTATCAATATCATTATTATCACATTTCTCCAGCTCTTAGATAATCTTCATTTGTGTGTAGACATAGGTTTTACCCCTTTATAGATAATTTTTGGTACAACCTCAACATTCTGTAAAGTTCATGATCACCAGAGGTGATCAGCACTTCCTGCAGCTTCAATTTACATCTTACATGGTTCTAGATGCAGTTCATGGCCTCATCAGCAGTAATAGTTAGTCCATCACAGTGTTGATTTATACTACTCAGAACATTGATTAATAAAGTCAGTAATTTTAGAACTATCCTAAATAATTATTAGCATATCTCTTTTTAACCTATTCCAAGATCTTCTACTTATGATTGATTAATTTTATCCTACTCCTGATTCAACATAGCACACAGATTAATTTTTATTCTCTATTGTAATCCAGATCATGGTCATCTCCTATATTTTGTGGCATTATAATGTATGTTCTTCTAAGCAGTAAGTCATTGGATGAAATTAATAATTAATTGAAAGCCCTGAGAGAAGAACACTTGTCACACTAATTAGAAAAATCAATTTTATGAAATTAAAGATATATTAATCATTATCTTACAGGAAAACATCTGAAATTCCTCTGTGAAATAGGTCAAATTCAGATATATTCAGGACACAGGCAGTCTCGATATATTTGGGCAGATCTGTGTTGTGGAAATTAAATCATGTTTGCTTTTAAGGCTCAAAGTAGTACAGATTCTATACCTGCAATTTTATTCAAAAGGCTATGGCAATGGCGTCATAAGATTGTGGGCAGCACACCTTAATTCTGTTATTAAGATAAATAGGCAGGGAACTCCTCTCGCTGGATTATGTTCCACCAGACCTCCTACCCCTTGACCCATGTGATCCCAGCTCTTTGCTCACCCCACTGCTAGTTCCTGTACCCAACCACAGAGAACTGTCACCCCTCAAGTACAGTCCACAGTATCCAGAACATATGAGTGATCACCTACCAGAAGAACTTTTCACTTCCCTAGATTCTGTTCCTCTGGATTCTGTTCCCCAGGACAATACCCCCTTAACCCATACATTTCCACATCATTGCCAGATCTTCTGCTGGACCCTGCTCCAGTCACAGTGGATGTGGGACACTCAGGTACAGACCACAGCAGTCAGAAAATGGATAGATCACACCAGCGAAAATGGTGTGCAAGCCACATCAGCTTGACCAGACTTCAGCTGGTCAAGGGCAGGCCACACTAATCAGAAGAACTGAGAGCCCCTGCTGCACTGAAGTACAAGCTAACTGCCAGAAGGCCAACACTCAACTGAAACAGAAACTCCACATAGACCACAGGTCACATCAGCTGCCAGATACCCTAGCCACCAAAACCAGAAACCCCGAGAGGAATCATCCCAAGCCCAAGTGCCTGAATGACAGTATAAAAGTACACTCAGCAGCAAGCAGGGCAATATGGCACCACCAGAGCTCAGATATCCTGGGCAAGACCTGAATGTTCCTATGTACCTGAAGTATAAGAAAATAATCTTAAGTAATGTTATGAAGATGATAGTTTTCCTTTAGAGGAAATGAAAAACTCCCTTAAAGAAATCAGGAACAAAGGAGCAGACATAATAGAGAAACTAAAAAAATTCCTTAAAGAATGCCTAAAAAATGAAAAAAACCAATAAGTGAAGGAAACTATTCATGGCATGAAAATAAAAATAGAAACAACAAAGAAACACAATCTCAGGGAATTCAGGAAATGGAAAGCCTGGGTAAGCACACAGGAATTACAGACAAAAATATCACTAACAGAATACACGAGATAGAAGAAAGAAGACCAGGTATTGAAGACACAGTGAAGAAATACATCCAAGAATACATACTATTAAGTCTAAAAACACCTACCACAAAATATCCAGGAAAACTGGAACACTGTGAAAACATCAAACATAAGAATAATTGAGATAAAAGAAGGAGAAGAATCTCAGCACAAAATCCCAGAAAACATGCTTGAAAAACCTTAGGTTTTCCTACCTAAAGAAGGACATGCATGTATTGGTATAAGAAGCATACAAATACCAAATAGATTGTATCAGAAAAAGTCCCTATATCATGAAATAATAAAATCACTAAACATGAAGAACAATCAAAGAATATTAAAATCTACAAGGGAAAAAGGGCATGTAACATACAAAGGAAGACCTGTAAGAATTATACCTGATTGCTCAGGGAGATTCTAAAAAGCCAGAAGGGCCTGGACAGATGTCTTGCAGAATATAAGAGTCCATGGATGCTAGTCCAGACTAATATACTCAGTGAAGTATTACTCAGCTATTAAAAACAATGACATAAAAATTTTGCTGGCAACTGGATGGAACTAGGTGAAACCATCCTGAGTGAGGTAACTCAGATCCAGAAAGACAAACATCACATGTACTAATTCATAACTGAATTTCATAAAAAACACTATGTCAAGAGCAAAGGTTTGACAAAAGACTTTTCCATCACTTGGAAACAAGCCAAAGAAATTATAACAAAATATCCTACTTGTTTTTTATACAACCAAATTCCACCACCTGCAGGCAATACCAAAGGGTACTCAAACGATGAAATCTGACAGATGAATGAGTTTCATTTTGTAGAATTTAGAAAAATAATATACATATATGCATATATACATACATGCATATATATGTATATATATATCACACTGTTGATATCTATTCAGGTTTTCAGTGAGCAACTTTGGATTCAAAAAAGGCTGACTTGGTAATCACACATTTGCTAGGAGTTATATTCATCATGGGTATGCCTGAAGAATTAAAGACAGACAATGCGATGGGTCCAGAGGCAGCAGGAGCCAAGGTACCATAGTTCCCTACTCCACCCATGGAACTAGAACTAGACTGGCTGTCTGTGCTTGGGGTCTACTGCTGCGTCTTCCATCCCAGCGTCAGGAACCAACGCTCCCTAGTCTACCTCCCCACCCACGGGTCCAGGTAAACCAGAGCCCATTTCTGGACCACCTGCCTGGGCTCTGCTACTGAGGCTTCATTCCAGCCAGAGGCAGCAGGAGCCAAAGTAACATAGTTTCCTGCTCTGCCCACGAAACTAGGACTAGACTGGCTGCCTGTGCTCACGGACTGTGACAGTGGCTCCCATTCCAGAGGCAGGAACAAACTCACCCTAGCATCCTAGTCTCCTGCTCCACCCATGTGACAAAGACTATCAGGGCCTCTCTCCAGACTACACTCCTGTGCCTGGGGCATTCCACTGGGGCTCCCATCCATCCCATTGGGATCCAAAGCATCCCAGCATCCTAGTCCATTTTTCCACCCACGAGACAAAGAAGTGGAGAGCTACCAGAACAGTCGACTTGCCGACACCCAACAGAAGAGAACCCTGGTCCCACACCCATCAGTAGAGGAAGAGGTACCCTGCAAGGACGGATGGGAAGGAGACAATATAAAAACACAAAGAGCAACAGAAAAACCAATATGACACCGCCAGAGTCCAGAGACCCTACACCAACAAGACTGGAACACCCCAACACAAATGAACTAGAAGAGAATGACATAAAAAACAACTTCATGGAAATGATAGAAACCCTAGAAGAGGATATGAAAAAATCCCTTAAAGAGATGAAAGAAAAAACAATCCAAAAATGCAATAAATGGAGCAAAAGACAATACAAAAATTGCAAGAAACAATTCGAACAATTCAGGGGTTGAAATCTGAAATAGAAACAATAAAAAAAACAAAGTCTGAAGGAACGCTGGAAATAGAAAAGCTGGGAAAGCAGTCAGGTACTACAAATGCAATCATAACCAACAGAATACAAGAAATGGAAGAGAGATTCTCAGGTGTTAAAGATACACTAGGAGAACTAGATTCATCGACCAAAGAAAAACCCTGAGATTAATCCACAAACCTATGAACAGCTGATTTTCAACAAAAAAGCTAAAATTATACAATGGAAAAAAGATAGCATCTTCAACAAATGGTGCTGGCATAACTGGATTTTGGCATGTAGAAGACTGCAGATAGATCCATGTGTATTGCCATGCACAAAAGTTGTCTAAATGGATCAAAGACCTCAACATAAATCCAGCCACACTGAACCTCTTAGAAGCGAAAGTGGGAGGTACCCTTGAATGAATTGGTACAGGAGACTGTTTCCTGAACTTATGTAGCACAAACACTGAGATCGACAATTAATAAATGGGACCTTCTGAAACTGAGACGCTTCTCTAAGGCAAAGGACACAGTCAGCAAGACAAAAAGGCACCCCACAGATTGGGAAAAGATATTCACTAACCCCACATCTGACAGAGCACTGACCTCCAAAATTCACAAAGAACTCAAGAAGCAAGTCTCCAAAACACCAAAGGATCCAATTAAAAAGTGGGGGACTGAACTAAATAGAGAATTCTCAATTGAGGAATATAAACTGGCTGAGAGACACTTGAGAAAGTGCTCAACATCCCTAGCGATCCAGGAAATGCAAATGAAAACAACTCTGAGATATCATCTTACTCCTGTCAGAATGGCAAAAATCAAAAACACCAATGGCAGTTTGTGCTGGAGAGGATGTGTCTTGATTAATCAACAGAAATATCACAAGTCTCAAATAGATTTCTACCAGCTATAATTTCCTTATCATTTAATTATTTTAAATATAATTGTTTAAAAAGAAAGGAAGAGCTTTCCAGTACTACAAGATATTAAGTCTTCCATAATCATTAAAGAAATCTGTGATGATAGCTGGGTGTTGTTGGCACATGCCTTTGACCACAGCACTCAGAAGGCAGAGACAGGTGAAACTCTGTGAGTTTGAGGACAGCCTGGTTTACAAAGCTACACAGAGAAACCCTGTCTTAAAAAACAAACAAACAAACAAACAAAATATGGGAAAAAGAAAAGAAAACTGTGATGATGGTGAATGTAGAAACACACACACAGAGCAGTTGAAAACAGCAGGAAGTCAATAAACAGACATAATAAGACCAGGATATATTTTTGAATAATCAGTAGCAATTTCCTAGCGGGTGTCAGTCTTTTATCAAAGAGTACATCAACAGTTAGACATTAAGTACAAAATAAGAAGATTAAAATAATCCAACATTGATCAGACATCTAAATGTAAAATAAGAACTTCTGTAAGAACATATGCTTTAGGCTTAGGCAATGGCATTTTAATTGACACACACACATAAAATGACAAATGCAGTAGGACAAACCAACTTGAAAGACAGGTATGAAACCCAACACAAAACTCTCTCACTCCTTAGGTTCAGTTACCACAGACCCAATCCACCACCATCCTTCTCCTTTCCACCCCCCACCCTGCAATGTCATGTCCAAGTCCCTAACTGGAGCAGAAATCTCCTGTTAAAGTGCAGACCATGCCAGCAAGAAGAACAGGTAGGCTGTTCCTAGGTTCCCATAGACACAATCCTCAATCATCTCTCCACCTCTATCCCAGTTGCTGCATCCCTGTTTCCAGCTCAGGTGACCCTTCTGCTCAAATGCAGGCCACACTGATGAGAAGAACAGGTAGGTGAGCATGACCAAAGGCCATGCCAGGACTCTAGGTAAGCCAAGTCCTCTAGCATGGCCTATGGTCTCCGCACCCCCAACACTATCCTCAATCCCCTCTCTTCTCTGAATTGTCATGTCCGAGCCCCCAACTTGGGTAGAGAACCCCTGCTCAACCACAGGCCACATGGAACAGAAGACCAGTCAGGAAGCTGAAATCAGACTTTTGTTTCCAATCCAGCAAACACAAACTCAGAAATCACCACCTAGACCTATAATTACCCAAACTGAGAGCTATAGATGCTCACTTAAGAACACAATCAAAAACAGCCAGGGCAAAATGTCACTACCAGAGCCCAGCTATCCTACTATAGCAAGCCCTAGATATTCCAACACGTCTGAAGCACAAGGAAAAGACCTTGAAACCAACTTTATGAAGATGATAGAGTTCCTTAAAGAGAAAGTGAATTAATCCCATAAAGAAAGTAAGGAAAATTCAAAGAAGAAATTGAACAATATGAGTAAATCCTTTAAAGAAAGCCAAGAAAAACAAA